AATGACTATTTCAGCGTTCATTAGTTATTACCGCGGTGTGATTTCTAAGGAACTATTTAAATGGGGCCACTGGTATACCGGGTTGCCTGTCTGCCGGAAAAGGTGAGAACTTGTTTCCCCTAAGTAGGGCTTTGCGCAAGGCTCCACGTTCCTGGATGGCCATAACTTCCGGTTGATAAACACAGAAGAAGCTGGGGAGACTAAAAAATTTCTCTTACTTAGTACAACTGAGAAAACATCGCCTCCGGCACACCCACCAAGTATGAAGGCATCCGTATAAAAGTTTATGGCAAAAGGAATTCTGTCATATTGGTAGGAAGTTCTCTCGATCTATGAGTCGGCTTATTTATGTTTCACTGTAGCAATACTGGATATCTCTCCTGTAAGTAGATCGAGTGGAGGTAGATCAACTCTGCATGTAGGGCATGTGTGAGCTTGGGACAAGGGGCATCGCATATTACACAATCCTCGCTTCTGTGGATTATTTGCAGACTTCTAAGCGCTGTTGATATCTTGGGTGTATGATGAAAGACTTCATAGAGTATAATTGAAAAGACAATTGTGTATATATCCAATGCACTATCCACGGCGAAAGTACCCATGATATAACTGTCCTCTTTCTGAAGCGAAAAGTGAATCTTTGACTAACTACTATGAACAACGCCGACCTTGTGTCCATCGGCATCAATGCGCTGCAGTTTATTTTTCATTGTTGTTGTTGTTGTTGGGCGCCAGTATTTACCCTCCTACGAATCACAACACCGCCTACTTCTTAAATCACCACCCGGCGGTAGAGCAGTTGATGGAAGAGTCCAACCACGGTCCGTCTATTCGGAGAGCTGTCATGGCTGAGCTTATGGTCATAGAAGCTTCTCCCGTGTCGAGGAACGCGACTGGGGTACTTTCCTTAATTCCAAATTATCTCTCACTTACTGCGACCATAGAAGGAAGAGCCGTTTGCGATGATCTATATTTATTGTAGACATGCTGTGCTTTGAATATCGGGAATGAGTTGATAGAGAGTCTGAGGTGGACTACCAAACTCTCTACAGTTCGCTTAACAGAAAAGACGATAGAATTATTGGACTAAGGTCACTTGGCTTGGAATGAGAGGCTCTACCTGAGTTCGGTATTTATGTAAACTCAACTTCTTCACAGTGCTTATAAATAACGCTTTTCGCCATACTTTAATACAATCCAAAATATATTGGAGTTAGGCCGGGAAAATCCGGGTCTGTTAAAAAATATCTAAATCTGTCCTATATCCTTTGCGAAGCTAGGCCTAGGTGGGCTTTAGATGAAAAACTTCTTGTCAAAACAGAGTAATGGAGTTTTTAAGTAGCAGATCAGTTGTTAAACTAGCTGCATTGTACTGATGCGGGCTTTTCCAAAGAGATCTAGAAAATTTAGCTATTTAGACTTCCAAAGCTTTCGTCAGTTTGGACAAAAAATAAATATATATTTTTTGGTATCATTTACTAATTCGTGTAAAATTTTTTTCCAGCTGGTAACCCTATTCCCAAATACTTACAGATTAAATTGTTTCAAAAAGCCTGTGCTAGATTTTCGATAACGAAATGTTTGTAAGGCATTAACCTTTATCAAAGACGTGATGGCTGGCAACTCTTTTTAAAAATTGCTAATTAAATTTTTCTCTACCAAATGCATATTGGCTTTAAAAACCCGCTCGAAAATGAAAGCGAGTGCCTTTTATTGCTTATTCTATATCTTCATCACACAAGTTTAAGCCATGTAAATTCCAATACACATTTTAAACAACCACCACTTGCAGGGAATTCTCACACATCACCACCATCTATTTATTTAGGTCACTTAGGGGAATACATAAATTCGCGCATTTGTATGTAAAATGTTTATAAATAAAAGTCCTTAAAAGCTTGTAGTACTTACTGAGTATAAAAAAAATCTCTTGGCGAACGACGAGTAGGGGTTTTTGCACTAATCCAACAATTTGTAGTACAACAGCCACAATACTGTTGTAGTGGCATGCACATCGCTAGCAGTTAGTGCAACATTTTATTTGAATTTATATTTTTTTCTATCTTCTTTTTGCACAATTCCGCCGCTATTGCTGTGTGGTTAAAATTTGCAATTTCGCTGGATTAGCAGTGAAAAAAAGCGAAGAAAAAGTGCAGCACAATAAGAAAACAATAAATTGCATCCGCAATGCGGTCAACAAGTAAAAACGAGGGAGAAATTGCAGAAGATAAACAAAATATTTGATACAATGTACACGATGGTTTACAGTAAATATTAAGCTTTTTTTAGAATTGTAGTTAGATATTACACTCATACATATGCATATATAATTATACATATATACGGTTCCCCTATGTCTCTTTAAATATTTGTTATTAAGGATGTTAAAATCATATTTTATCGGTTACTTTGTTTGCTAAAAATCTCTGCATACATGAATTTCTTATTTAACTGGGAGTACATTGAAAGTTTCTGGGGTATTTTTTAGGATCGAAATTTACGCCGTCAGCCTGTATGCCGAGATAAATTTGTGTTGAATTCTGATTCTCAGTGATAGCCGGCGGCACTCAAGGCCCTGCCATCTTTCGAGGTGATGTCATCGCTAATATTCGAATGCATAGATAAAGGTCACAAGCCAATACATATATAGTAGAATAAGAAAGCGGACAGACTCAACTCCAATTGGACCTGAGCCTTACTTCGCAATACGTTCAAATACAGCCCACTGTAAACGGAATAGCTACTTGCATAGGGATTTGGTCAAACAATCTCTTATATTCTCTGCCATCCATTTTCGATGCATGCGGGAAGAAGTTGACTGCTCCCGCTGCTTTAGAAGTTCTGCCTGGTCCAATCCTCCGCTGATGAAAGGTGGGCAGACAAGAAGCTCGGTGGCGCAGTAATCCGTACGACTAAAGATGTGGTCGAAGCCCCCAGAGCTCCGCAGTATCTAGTCTTTAAGTAGTTCAATCAATTAGTTTCCTTGCATCCAATAGCTGTTTGCGTTGTGGTAGTTTTGCCTGCTCCTATCCCAAAATCTATGAATGAATGCTTCTTTTATCCTTTAGCTCTGACAGGATCTCGTATGTTTTCAAAAGAAACTGTGAGAGAATTATTGGCTTGAAGTCCTTGGCGGACTGGGCAGCTGGGTTAATAGCTCACTCCCTTGACAACTCTTCAAACCTAGGGTGTCCACCCGTTTCTTACGCAGCTCGCGTAGATAGCGGTCAGCCAACGTCACGACACATCCGCACATTTTGCAGCTGCGCAGGCCAAACGCCATTGGGTCCTAGGGTTTGAGCGAATTTTTCGGTCAAGTCGGGCGACGGTCATATAGAAGGTCAGAAACACGCACTTCCCCTAAGAAAATTCCCTCTGGGAAGGCTTAAAAGGAAAGTGAGTATCTAAAAGCATACTCAATGACTCTTCGCTACTCATAGTCCAATTTCCTATCTCATGCCAAAAGTAACCTACCGGAGCAAGATTCTCAGCGAGAATACGCTTAAATCTAGAGGATTTCGCAGAACACCCTCCAAGAAACTCTTTTCGGCTTTCTGATTTTAGACTTTTAGATTCCGAATGAATGTTATTCTTTGATTTATACCCACTAATACTCGTTCTCTCTTTATAGTGACCGAAAAAATGTTAGAATACATATTTTTGAATGAGTGTCAGATATACATATATATTCAATTTGATATGGCCAGTAAATTCAAACTAAATATTCAAATCCTGTCTAGGAATTCTATCGTTTCAATATCCACTTATACCTTTTACACACACCACTCACTATAAACATGTTGCTAACCGCATTCCACACCACCTAAAATGCTGCTATGGCGAAAATTAATCACCGCTCTTAGAAAGCCATACAAATTTAATTAGCAATTATGTTGCGTTTCAATTAAAATACTCTACACATATACAGATATGCAATAAAAATTCATATAAATGAAAATACATATAAAGCACACAACTATAAAACGGAAAATACGCTGGCTCATGCCACGAAGCACTCTACAAATAAGTAATTCATCTAATAATCGTAAAACGACCGCAGTAAGCTGTTGCTGAGCGTGTGAGCGCGTTTAATGAAAGGGCTATGCAATTTTACGACTAATCTAAGCTCAGCGAAAACACTAGTCCTTGCATTGTTGCTGACTTACTTGTGTGTGTGTGTGTGTGTGGGTTTTGTTAGAGACAAATACAATCCTCTAAAACATGCTGCTGGTCATTAACTGATGACCTCGATTATTGCCTTTTGCATTAAATGTCAGTGCCATATAACCAAAAAAACAACAACAACGCTACTTGCAACTGAAGTAAAAAGTTGTACTAAAACAATACTTTAGTGTTCATATGTGGCTTCTACATACATACATACTTCTGTTTCTGCTCCAATTTACTCCCATTTCCCATTCCACTACTCCCACATGGTTTATGAGTGTTTTGCCTGGCGTTGAAGTTTATGAGCGCTTAGCAAGCGGGGTCGCCCATTGCTGTTGTTGTTGGTGTGCACATGCTGGTCATAAAATAAGTAAAGTAACATGGCGCAGCTGGCAGGAAGCAGAAACAGCGGCAACTTCACATATCCACATACACATATGTATGTATTTACGTATATATGTACTTGAATATTTAGGCGTGTGGGGGAGGAAGCAAGGCACCTTTAACGGATATCCAATACATACATATATGTATGTATGTGTGTGTGCTGTGTTTTCCTAGCACGTTTCGTTCATCCTTTGGCCATTTTATGCTTAAATAAATTGTTTTGTATCGCCAATGGTCATTGAGCGTCGCCCGGTGACTCACACTACCCCCATCAGTTTTACTTTCTCGTCCAGCTGTTATGAACTTCTGTACACTCTGTGCACTCACTTTGTTGCTAATGATGCTCAAGGGCATGTTGTTAGTACACGTATACCGCTTTGTTTTCTTTCATCGGTGATAAACACTCTAAAAATTCTATAAGAACACTGTAAGAAATTTGTTTAGTTTTAGGAAAATGTTCTAAAATTGCTGGCATTCGGTTGATATTGTGTTATGCCCATAACCTTACTGTTACGATTGCCATTACAGTTACTAAAAGCATTACTATTATCATAACCACTACTATTTTCATTACAAGTACTATTACCGTTATTATTACCATTACAATTACCATCTCCATCTCTACTACCATTACGATTACCTTTACCATAACCATTATCATTACTACCGTCATTAGCATTGTCATTACCATAACCATTACCATTACATCTACCAATATCTTTACTATAACTACCTCCACTACTATTTTCATTACCTAAACAATTGCCAGTACCATTAACATTACCGAATACCATTACCATTACTATATCCATTACCATTACTATAACCATTACCATGATCATTAACATTACCATTACTATTCCAATCATTGCAATTACCTTTACCATTACCGTTGTCCTTAGCATTGTCTTTGCCATCACCATTACCAATACAATTCCCATTGTCATTACCATAACCATTACCATTATATCTGCCAATATCTTTACCATTACCACCACAACTACTACTACCATTACCTTCACAACTGCCAGTCGCATTACCGAATACCATTACCAATCATTACTATCACCACTGCCATTTAAGTTAACATTACTATTACCACTACCATTATCATCTATTGATTAACAGTGTTCATGAAAATAATAAATTTTCAGTGTATTTCAATATGCTTTCGCCATAGCTGTTTTCATTAACGTTTTATTTATATTTTAAGAGCCCAACATCCGCCAGTTTACTTTCAACGCATATGTAGTATGTATGTATGTATGTACATATAATATAATATTTAGTCTCGAAATATTTCTAGTCAAACATACTTACTTTGGCTACTTTTAATGAACATTTTTTTTGCTTTGCTGAAAAAGACACAAATACAACCGAAATTCTAAACACATACATATTTACTTGCACGTAGAGAGCCTTGCCTAACACTGCGTGTCCATGTCCTTTGTTAATGAATTATTGGCAAAAGTTTATTATAATTACTGTATTGCGCCAGCGTGTAGCCGTCCCGCCTACGTTGACCTTAGGCCACACAAGAAGGAAGTGTCTTATACACTGGCACTGCAGTTACCTGTGTGTGTGTGTGTGATGCTTTGCAGAGCTTTATACAGGGCCTGTAGGGAAATGAGTTCACTAAGGGCGAATCTATCATATCGAGACTGTTAACCAGAACTAAATATAAGATGTTGACTACATAGCGCCAAAAGTATTATAGAATTGTATAGGTCGCCCAAAACCGAATGGAATTCGCTATGTCCGTCTGGATACAAAGTAAAGCAAGGAATTGGAGAACGGACTTTCCGTTTGCTACTACTCATTTCTGGGTTAATAGCAACTCGCCTTCGAGCAAATGCGTCGTCATATTCTCAGATAACTGGTGTATCAGTTTAGACAAAGCATCTTTTTAGAAACAAATCAGTAAAGAAAGAATGCAGAACTCTACTGAGATCTATGTGGTTTGGGCTCCCTTCAGTTTAGGCTGCCGATGTGGTACCTAGAGAGGGTTCCCTCGGTGCCGTCAATAAAGAGGGGGCTTCCAGCTCCAACTCGATAAATAATATGGAGTATTTATCCTCATTATTTTCTTAAATCCTATGGAATGGAAGGAGATGCTGGGTTACTCTATAGCAAAACTTTGTTGGCTTGAATTCTGGCATACATTGAGATTGCCTTAAAGACCGTGGACCTAGTATCCATTGCAATAGAAAGTTTGGTGCCAGATCCAGACACCCGTTCCTGCTCTGCCCTCCATCTTTGATTCGTCTTTGTACCAGTGTACATATATCGGGTCTGGAATTTTTCTGCAGCGTTTTTGGCCACCCCTATGGCGAAGTCAAATATCTCGGGGTTACCTTGGATAAGAGACTAAGTTGGAATTCCCATTTAGACAAGCACTGTTTAACCGAACCAGTGTTCGGCACAGTACCCTCTTTTAAGCAGCACCAAAAATGCTTTCTTCGGGTTTATGCAGAGGCCCTCATTGGCACACCAGTTTGATACCTCACGCAGAGGTGTACTCATAACGTCTGATACAGATCTGTCGCATTTTCCAGTCACAATAATTACTAGGTCGTCCGCATAACCAATAGCCTCGTAACCACATTCCTGCAGTTTGGTTAAGAGGTCATCTACGAGGGGAGACCAAAGTAGAGGAGAAAGAGCATCTTCCTGTGGACACCCTCTTATGGCTCTGATGTTCACGGAGCTTTTGCCTAGGGACGATGTGATATCACGCTCACGGAGCATGGTGTCGATCCACCCGGAAGTGCAGGGATCTATGCATCGTTGGGCCAGTGCCCTTGAGATAGATTCATATGTAATGGGGTTGCGTGTCTCAGCTTATCCCTAATATGTAGGTCTAGCAGCCTTTGGACGGTCTATAAGATGAAGGAAGTTAAACTAATAGGTCTGAGTGATTAAAGTGAGTCGGGGAGCCTGAGTAAGACTCAAACCAGTGTTGAGGTTTTCGTTAAAAGCATTCTTGGAAAGATGTATTCGAGCTTCTTTGAATTGCGTAGTTTTCGGGAACCTCATAATTCCAGCCCTCTTAATTTAAGGGAAATTTAACATTCATCGGCTTTGTGGCCATGATCTGGTTGCTTATGTGACGCAATCTAACCATGATTTCTTTACTATTGTATGGTTTATTTCACCAAAAAAATTTCCATATTTTGGATGAAGCCCAAATCTTGCTACTGGCAACTTTTCCTGCAGGGTCTTTACGGTTTTATACTTGAAAAGAAATGAAAATATTTACACAAAAATACTCGAACTATGTAGTCTTTAGTACATACACTCATACATACATACATATATTCATTGACTTACATGCACTCCGACTCGGCTGACTTTTTGTTCATTTAACCCTCAGGTTCTACGACTTTTCATTTACGCAATATGTTGGGCTGGCAAGAATGTAGAACATAAGTCCCTAGGCAATGATTTTACTAGCGGTCAGTGCTGTGTTTATGACAGATTTATGAGGCATTTGGATTTTATTACCTACCGGAGTAGAGCGAGAACAGTTGGAAAGCGTGAATACATACTTACGTACATATGATATGTATGTATGTATGTATGTATTTACTGAGCGTGTATTTTGGTTTTCGGAAACACTTTAATTCCTTTAATGCGGATGTAAATCTGTGCCCCAAAATTTTAGCTGCATACGCGCTGTGTGGGTATGTAGAAGAGCAAAAGTAAATAAGCTGAGCAGCGCGTAAAAAAAGAAGAATAAATAAGCAACCTGTTAGCCAACTGCAAAGCCGACAATTTAAATAAACTTGTCAACAGGCATTAGCACGCTCACTCAACACGAAATCCTTTCGTTTAATCCTTTCAACTGAAAATTAGTGCGACATAATTTTACTTGACAAACTGCAGGCGCATGAACCTTTGGACGAAGTGGACCCAAAAATCAACACCAACTGCTTGGGTTACTAACATGCATACATGTGTGTATGTATTTGTGTATGGCAATGTTCGGAGTGACAGCATTAAATAATGTGGTAACTGAATGGAAAAAAAACATATGTACATACGCATATATATATTTAGATACCCTTGTGGTCAGCTGATTAAGTTAAGTGACATTTTGACCGGTTTTGACTATTTTTATTTTGTCTATTTAGTTTGCTTATTTTGTTTTTTATAATAGTCTAGCACATTATATAAGCGCCACCACATAAATCCTCATTACAAAATTTATAAAAATTCAACAAACTTTGACAATTACGTCCAAAAATTTTATTTTTTATTTATAACAAAATTATAAGCCTTAAATAAACAAAAGAAAAATAACCGAAGCCGGTAAAATGTCACTTTACTTAATTAGTTGACCACAAGTGTATATATACAAATACTTTCACACATTCCGTTCTTTAAACTTTAGCTATTTTTTCCACACCCCCACTCCTTTAACCTACTATTTGACCTGATAAACAAGACGGCAGTAGAATACGTATTCAAAAAGAAAAACACAAGCGAACATCCCGACAAATGAATTTGTTAAGCAGCTGATAGGGCTTTGAGCTGGCCACCACACACACACACACAAGCTTGATGTGCTCGATAATAGCGCCAGCAGTGGCGGAATTTAATGATGACACCGGCGTTGATGCTGGCAAAATGTGTGAGTTGAAAGCAGATAAAATGAACCCAAGAACCCGAGACAAATAATTTTGGTGATAAACATGACCTGTCCGTTCATGTCGGCTAACATACCAACAAATATGTACCTATGTACATATATTGTTTGTCTGTATTTGATATTGCAGGTATAATAGAGGAGGAGTCGGCGTGCGAGGCTAATAGGCAAAAATTTATATCAACGAATGCGCCACACAGAGATCAACGCAAATAAAGGGACAAACATACGTATCGTACATACAAATATGTATATACATATGCGTAGCAAATATGACTTTCTCAAAACTGAGGCAGGATTAGTACGCTTAAGCAGTCTACCAGTTTTAACAGCATTAAAAGAAAATGCGCCTAGATGTATGCAAATTTAAAATATTTAGGCCATTTATAATATTCGTCGTGAATAAAATGCGAAACATTTTTGGTTGGGTGCGAATGCAATCATCGACGTAAAATTAGTGCCAAGATTAAGACTAAGATTAAGAATAAGAACCAGACTAAGAATAAGATTAAGGTCAAAATTAAATTTAAGATTAGGATTGAGGTTAAGATCAAGATTAAGATTAAGAGTATGAGTAATATTAAGATTAAGATTAGGATTAAGATTAAGATTAAGTTTGATATTAAGATCAAAATTAAATTTTAGATTAACATTAAGATTAGGATTAAGAATAAGAGTCTGGGTAATATTGAGATTGAAATTAGGATTAAAATTAAGATGAAGAATAAGATTATGATTTAGATTAAAATTAAGTTTAAGATTAAGATTACGGTTAAGGTTAAGATAAAGATTAAGATTAAGGTTAAGGTTAAGATAAAGATTGAGATTAAGATTAGGATTAAAATCAAGATTAACATAAAGATTAAGATTAATTACCCACTATGATTAAGATTAGGCTCAAGATTAAGACTAGGATTAAGATTAAGACTAAGGTTACTATGAAGATCCAGATTTAAATTTAGATTTAGATTTTGATTTAGATTTCGATTGGGCTAAATATTAAAATGATGAAATTGTTCGTTATTATGCAGAGAAATACTCATAGATATATTAAATAGGGTGAGAGAGATGGATAATAGAAGGAAGACGTTTCATCACAGTCGCGCATGGGATCCACACACACTTTTTTCCAGTCAACTTGGATAAATAAACAAAATGATATTATCTCTGTGCATTCTAATAACCTCAATAGTCTATGATTTAGCTGTGCACAAATTTCCCTGTTAGGAAATCATCGAAAAAGTATAGGTCATCGTCCTCATCATCCCCATCTTCTTCGTTGTCATCCTCTCCGTCTGATTCCTCGTCTCCTTCCACATCAACATCGTCACCCAATGCCTCTTCATCTTCCTCTACATCTACATCTCCTTCCCCAAATTCTTCCTGTTCATATCCCACATTT